GCACAAAATATGTTACAGTAGAGGAGGCTGAGTTCCAGAGGAGCTGGGTTTCTTCTCTTTGCATCCCATTGTGTTACATGGCTGCCAGAGTGAGCATTCGCCAACAGACTTGACCTTGTTGTGGGATTGGACTTCCCCTGGCAGCTTTCCATGCTGTTAGAGTGAAGGTCTGATTTCTAGAAGCCAGTGCAAGGCCTTCGGGATGGAGTTTCTGCTGGTCTTCATAGCTTCTCTGGCCACTGGTAGCCATACTGCTTGTAAATGTCAAATTCTGGGATAGTTTTATCTCGTTGACCATTCTGGTTTTATCTCATTTGGCCATGCTTTCAGGTATGATATTCCCCGTGCCTGGAAGGCGCCCTCTACCCAAACAAACAAGTTATCTAATTCAGAGGCTTTCAACATTTTTTCCCTATGAACCCAGTGAGAGGACTACATTCTCTCTCTCTCTCTCTCTCTCTCTTTCTGTCTCTCTCTCTCTCTCTCTCTCACACACACACACACACACACACACACATACACATACATACACACAAACATGAAATCTACATAATTATTATAAAACAGTACTTACTCTTTTTCTATGTGATGGCACTTTAATATTGATGTTAACTATTTATTATTTCTCTTTTTAAAAATGCCATTTGCCACCTACCAAATAGATTTCATATCCTTATCTGTACTAGCGACTTCCTAAGAAAAGGTTGGAAGTGTTTGGGGAATATTTTGGTTGCACGACTTAGTGCACCAGGGATACAGGGATGCCAAGCACCCTGTAGTGAGCAAGATGTTGCATATCCTGCTCAATGTGCCAGTTGCATCTCTTCAGAGAAACAGTGCCAACCTCGGGAGTGAGACCACAGCAGTTCCCTGTAATCGGTGTCCTTGACACCTCAAGCACATGGAAGATGTGGTTGAGCCTCTTCCCCTGCTGTGCTGCAGTCCTTTTGTTGTTGTTTTAGTTTTGCCTCCTTCACAGCCTCAGGACGCTCTTGAGGGTAGATACTATGTCCTACTTGTCTTTTACATCCAAGGCCTTGAACCCTGGCACAAACCTAATAGGTGCTCAATAGAGAGAAGGGGAAGAGGCTTGATCCAGTGTCCTGCTGCAAGTGTACAGGAGAGTTTGGAAAAACCAAACCAAACCAAAACCTAAAAAAAAGAGAGAAAGAAAGCACTGCAGTTTTCCCGACTCAAGCCAGCCCTGCCTCAAATTATTTGGTTTTGGATAGAGCTGGGAAAGAGGACCTCTAGCCAAAGACAAATTATTTTTTCCTGTGGGAAAAATCCGAGGAGGTGATATCATATGCTTTTATTTCTAAAAGGCTAACATAGGTATTGAGGTTTGATTTACATATAGCACAATTCGCGCTTTCTAATTATAGTTCTAAGAGTTTTGATAAAGGTATGCAATCATGTTACCACCATCATCAAAATCAAGATGTGGAACAATGCTATCACCCCAGGAAGGTCTCTCATGCCCCTTTGTAGTCAACCTTTCTCCCAGCCCATCCTCCCAGCTGTTGGCCACCACTGATCTGTTTTTTGTCTCTAAAAGTTTGCCTTTTCCTGGCCCGGCCAGCATGGCTCAGTGGTTGAGTGTTGACCTGTGAACCAGGAGGTCACGGTTTGATTCCCTGTCAGGCCATATGCCTGGGTTGCGGGCTCTATCCCCAGTGTGGGGCGTGCAGGAGGCAGCGGATCCGTGATTCTCTCTCATCATTGATGTTTCTATCTCTCCCTCTTTCTTCCTCTCTGAAATCAATAAAAATAGAGTAAAAGTTTGCCTTTTCCAGAATGCCATGGAAATGGCATTACCCAGTAGATAGCCTTTTGGGTCTGGCCTTGATTTAGCCCAAGGTATCTGAGATTCATCCTCGCTGCTCTTTGTATCAATAGTCTGATCCTTGTTATTATTTCATTTATAGATACACCCACATTTCTTTATCCATCCACCGGTGAAAGTAGCATTGCTGGGTCAAATGGTCATCAACCTATGTTTACTTTTATAAGAAACTGCCAAACGGTTTTCCAAAGTGGTTGTACCATTTTGCCCTTCTACCAGTAGTAGGAGCGTTCTGATTGTTCCATGCCCTCGCCAGCACTTGGCATTGTTAGCTAGTATTATTTTACATTTTAGCCATTCTCATGGTGGTGTGGTATCTCATTGTGATTGAATTTCCACTTCCCTAATGACTAACGTTGAACATCTTTCTGTGTGCTTTTTGTCATTTGTGTAATCTTTTTTGGTGCAATGTATGTTCAAAAACTTTTACCCATTTTAAAATCAGGTTTATTTATTTTTATTGCATTTTGAGAGCTATTTCTATGTTACAGATACAAATGCTTTATCTGATAGATGTTTTGCAAATATTTTCACCAAGTCTATTTCATGTCTCTTCATTTTCTTAACAAAGGGAATACAGCTTTGAATGCAAAAATTCTGAAAGGCCTTAAAATACAAGCTTTAGTCCATGAAAGTAGAGAAATGGATTAAACATTCTTTTCTATGTCTCCTATAGCAGAAAGTTTTAATTTTTATTATTTTTTAAGATTTAACGCTGGCATTTTCTCTAGCCTTTCTGTGTTGTTAGGAAGATTATATACTAGGATGTTCAAGGACGTTAACTGGATGATGACTTTGCAAGGTGGTAACTTTGCTCTGTAGTAATTAACATTTATTTTAAAGTGTTGCTATGGTGATTGTAGCAGCTACCCTCTTAAGGATTGCCAGGCTGCAGAAAAGCAAGTTTTGGGTTCTTTCTGCTGGGAAGCGCTGAGTCTTTGTGCTTGAAACACCAGAGAAAATGCCAGATAGCATGGAGCCGGTGTATCCTGCTGCCTACAACTAACAGAAATGTTGCTTGCAGCCTTAGAAGTGTATCTATTGTGACATCGAGTTGGATTCTAGCAGTGCCAAAACATGTAAGGTCAGAAAAATGTCTCTGGAGCAAAATCTGACTAAAATAGCATATATACTGTTTTGGCCCCATTTCTGCAGTGTTAAAGAACAGATTCTTCACGTATATGTAGCAGTTCCTATTGCTTTCGGAATGCAAGAATGCATTTTAAAAGGTTAAATTTAATGGAACATTGCAACAGTGTCTTAATAACAAGAATAGAGTGGACGGATGGATTTTAATAAAAAAAGTTTAAGGACTGTGAATTTACGTTTTGATGTAAAAGCCTCCCCATCCCAGCATAGTCTATGTCTTATACCTAAATGAATAATCAATACTTCATAAATGTTTGTTAAGTGGATGACAGTATATCTCTTTTTCTCCTGTAAAGGAAAATCTTTAATTGACCTCTTTTCCTTTGGACATGGTGGCTTCCTGTAGCAAAGACGTATGGCCTGCCACAAAGAGCATTGAGATATACACTGAGTGGCCAGAGTATTATTATGACCACCTGAAGTTTGTAGGCAAATTAACTATAATTTCGCACTGAAGTTGCTAGAGGGCCAGACCATTATAAACGTCTGAATAGCACAACATACCTAAGTATCGTTGCTGATCAAGTTCATCCTATCATGTTGATGGCGTATCCCAATGGACATGGCTTCTTCCAGCAAGACAATGCGCCATGCCACGGTGCTCGTATTGTGCAGGAGTGGTTTCAAGAACATGAGGGAGACTTTACCTTGCTTAGGTGGCCCCCACAACCACCAGATCTCAATCCAATTGAACATTTGTGGGATGAAGTTAAAAGAGCCATTAGGCAACTGGTTCCATAACCATCAAATTTCACAGAACTGGACAGTGCTATTCATCAGGCATGGTGTCAGATTCCTCGCATCACCTTTCAACATCAAGTGGGGTCAGTGACAAGAAGAATCGCCACAGTTTTGAAGGCAAAATGTGGCCCAACGAAGTGCTGATAAGGTGGTCATAATAATCTGGCCACTCAGTATATTAGACTTTAATATTTACACTTTTGTTAAAAGATATAAGATGATTTTTTATTTTGCAGATGAAGAATCTTAGAAACGTGTTCAGGACTGTGGGGCTTCATATTTGTAAAAAGAATGCATCACACATAGAAAAAGAATCTGTAATGACACCCATGAACTATGACAGTGGCTGTTCCTGGGTATTGATATTTTGGATGGTTTTCTCTCTCTCTCTCTCTCTCTCTCTCTCTCTCTCTCTTCTCTCT